GTTTTTTTTTTAATAAATTATTATTATATTCTCACTTTTTTGGGGGGTGTTTTAGGAAATTCCTCGGCGGCGGGAGGGCGGAGGGAGAGCGGGCGGGGAGTAGTGCGGGAGCCGCAGGGTTAACCCCTACCTCCCTGCAGCCCGGCCGGGGAGCTGGAAGGACCCGTTGGGCTGGACCCCGTCCTGGGGAGCTACGAGCCAAGAGGTGACGCCAATGGGATAAATCACCCCCCCACACACACACACAAGGGGCTGCGCTCCTTCTCCCTGTCAAACCCACCTGGACACTCGGCTCTGAGATGCTCGAACGCCCCCGGGAGATGTTTAAACCCCCGCGCGGGGATTGAGCCCGCGCAGACGCATCTGCCCCACCCCGGGCACAGCCCTGAGCATCCCACGCTCCGAATGGGGCAAAGCATAAATCCGAGGTGCAGTATTCCTTTCCAGGGCTCTGCTTCACCACCGAAGTCCCCCAGTGCCATGAATCCCTTCCCAGCAAATCCCCGTTCCCTTTCTATTTCCATGGAAGAGGTCTTTCTCTCCTGAGGCAGCAGAGGCAGCGCACAAGGGGCAGAGGTTTCAGCGAGAGAAAGCAGTCGAGACCTCTCCCCACCAGCTGTTTGACATTCCTCCGGCTGCATAAAGCCGTTTAAACGACCAGCCTGCAGCAACCCCCTAACCCTCTACCCCAAGCCACAATCCCAAATCCTTCTCCCACTGTTCCAGCGGTATGGAAAGTGCTCCCATCTCAGCTGCCCTTCATCTCTGCATGTTGGGAATGAAATGCCATCGTCTGGAAAGCCACTGGTCACACAGTCACCCCTGGAGAAGCCACCTGGCCTCTATACCACTTTGCTCCTGTTACTGCTGCTCCCCAGATCCTGCACAAAGTGGTCCAGCTCTGGCTGCCAGCCCTTCTCTGCCTGTCTGTGGGGCTCAGCTTTCTGCTCCCCAGGATCCTTACAGAGAGGTTGGACAGCACCAGATCTTCCCTGAGTAGCTGTGTCCACTCGGCAGTGCTGCTTTGCTTGCCCAGAATAAGCCAGGGCCGCCAGTTCATCGTGGAAATGGATTCCTGCAGCTTCCTTAGACTCCTAAGACCAGATTTTGTATGGCTTTTTACCCTGTTGTCCTGCTCCACCTTCACAACTTGCACTTCCAGGAGTGGTCAGAGCAAGACACTTCATTAGCACATAAAATACAGGCTTTAATGCAGCACTGAATGCCTTCGTGCCCAGGTTCCACCATTGGGAAGGCTTGGGTGGAGGTCCCAGACCTTGCAGGAGCCCTGGGTTTCTCCTTTGCAAATGGCTTCATGTCTCTTCCCCTCATCTTCTTCGGCTTCCTCACACCACTGGCCAGAGAGAGACTGTCACCACCTGTGATCCCTTTGGTGACTGGAGATCTCCTCCATCAGCCAAGTTATTTATTTCCTTCCGTTAATTCAAGCTCAGAACTGGGCTTTCCAGGCTATGAGATCTTTATGCCCAGTGCCATCCCACTTAAGAATGGCACTAAGCCACCAGTCCTCCAAGAGCTCCAAGGTCTCCCCAAACCCCTTATCCTGCTCACACCAACCATGAGCCCCATTTGTCACAGACATGAAAGCAATCAAGGGGAATTTCTGCAGCAAAACCTCTTCTTTCCATCCACCTTATTTCTGTCTGTCTCTAGCCCTATCCCAGGTGCCAAAAACATCCCCATTTTCCAAACCATGTTTGCAAGTGCCTGTTCCTGAGGGAAATCTTGGTAATAAGAAACCTATTTTAATAACTCTTTGAGTCACAAGCTTTGTTATTTTCTCTCCACACATCATCTGGCACTGGTCCTCTACAGAAAGCACAAGCAGTGCCACCCCTGTTGCATTTCAGGGCCAACCAGAAATGGGAGTTCTTCTCACAGGGAAGAATTTCTTCCCTATGTCCAATCTAACCCTGCCCTCTGGCAGTGAGACGACATTCCCCCTTGTCCTCTCCCTCCAGGCCCTTGTCCGAAGTCCCTCTCCAGCTCTCTTGAAGTGCCCCTTTAGGCACTGGAAGAGGCTCTAAGGTCTCCCTGGAGCCTTCTCTTCTCCAGGTTGAACACTAACAGCTCTCCCAGTCTGTCTCCAGAGCAGAGGGGCTCCAGCCCTCGGAGCATATCCGTGGCCTCCTCTGGATTTGCCCCAGCAGCTCTACATCCTTCTTCTGTCAGGGACTCCAGAGCTGAAAGCCCTCACCACCTACCACAGCTTCCCTTATTTCACTGCTCTGCTCATTTCCAGCTCCCCGTAAGTTTTTCTGGCAATGCCCCTCTATTTTTTCCTCACGCCTCGATAAAGATATTAAAGGGGTTTGGGTAAACAGCAGGCTCCTCCCATTTCCCACCAGGAACAGCCGGCACCTTCTTTCCCAGCTTTTCCCTTGCACAGGGCAGACTTGAAAAGCCCATTTGTAGCACAGGTCTGTGGGCAAGTTATGAAAGTGCTTAGAAAAATGGGGACACGAAGCCCAAGTCAATGAAGTTATTTTGCGCCTCTGCTGTAACAGCAACAGCTGAATTCAGGACTGTAGATACTGGCCCCGCATCAGGGCTAAAACTTATGAGAAAGTTCAGGCCTGTCCTAAGTGCAGACCCAGGAAATAAAGGCCAGCCTTGTCCGGAGCAAGGTGCTGTGTTACATCTCTGTTGGGTCTCATAAAGAATACATTCACGCTTTGGCAAAACCCAGGCGCTTTATCTTCATCTGCAAAGGAATCTGTCTGACAGTTCAATAGTGCCAACATCAATCCTAGAATCAGGCTCCAAAACCCATGGCACTGGCCTGCAAATAATAAAACCTGGGTCGTTTTTATTTGCCTTCTACTTCCTGAGTCTTTAGGTCAAGCTCACCTCATGTTTTCTGGGCAGTTGAGAAGATGAGACAATTCCTTTTTTTCTTTTTTTGAGAGAGASWGA